GAGGGAAGGAGGTTCTCACCCAAGATTTGACGGTACATGGCCCCGTCCATCGTCCCTTTGATGCGGTGAAGTTGTCCTGTCCCCTTAGCAGAAAAACACCCCCAAAGCATAATGTTTCCACCACCATGTTTGACGGTGGGGATGGTGTTCCTGGGGTCATAGGCAGCATTCCTCCTCCTCCAAACACAGCGAGATGAGTTGATGCCAAAGAGCTCCATTTTGGTCTCATCTGACCACAACACTTTCACCTATTTGTCCTCTGAATCATTCAGATGTTCATTGGCAAACTTCAGAGCAGGGGGACCTTGCGGGCGCTGCAGGATTTCAGTCCTTCACGGCATAGTGTGTTACCAATTGTTTTCTTGGTGACTATGGTCCCAGCTGCCTTGAGATCATTGACAAGATCCTCCCGTGTAGTTCTGGGCTAATTCCTCACCATTCTCATGATCATTGCAACTCCACGAGGTGAGATATTGCATGGAGCCCCAGGCCGAGAGAGATTGACAGTTCTTTTGTTTTACTTCCATTTGCGAATAATCGCACCAACTGTTGTCACCTTCTCACCAAGCTGATTGGCAATGGTCTTGTAGCCCATTCCGGCCTTGTGTAGGTCTACAATCTTGTCCCTGACATCCTTGGAGAGCTCTTTGGTCTTGGCCATGGTGGAGAGTTTGGAATCTGATTGATTGATTGCTTCTGTGGACATGTGTCTTTTATACAGGTAACGAGCTGAGATTAGGAGCACTCCCTTTAAGAGTGTGCTCCTAATCTCAGCTTGTTACCTGTATAAAAGACACCTGGGAGCCAGAAATCTTTCTGATTGAGAGGGGGTCAAATACTTATTTCCCTCATTAAATGATCAAAAAATCAATTTATAACATTTTTGACATGCGTTTTTCTGGATTTCTTGTTATTATTCTGTCTCTCACTGTTCAAATAAACCTACCATTAAAATTAAAGACTGATCATTTCCTTGTCAGTGGGCAAACATACAAAATCAGCAGGGGATCAAATAATCTTTTCCCTCACTGTATTTGGGGACGCTGTTTTTGTGCAGGGACACAAAGTTACCATGCACCTGAGCACTGCACTCGATGGGTCTCCAAGAGTTCACAGCTTTTCAATCGATCTTTTTCCTGGCTGAATTCAAGCTTAAAGCGTAGAGGTTCTGTTGATTCGGCGCAGAGGCACAGGAGGGTTATCCCACTGAGCCACTAAACCACAATAAAACTCAGGTAATAATGTTCTGTTAGAGGAAGTACTTCAGTTTATAAATTACTTTTGAAATGCCTACATTAATGAACCCAGTCACCTTCAGAGTGGCCTTGGGTTCTTTTGGTGTCAGAGGTTTGATTTTCCAGGCTGTCACAGAGGCCCTTAAAATAATTGTGCAACAACTGTCCCCGTCTGCTTGCCACTTGGGACTCTGTGATTGGAGGCTGGTTTTAAAACATCTCGCGGCAGGTTGGTGACCTATTCAGGGGATGATTGATCACCTAGCTCCTTGCACACACGATGTCATTTTTTCACAGATTTCAGTAAATGATACCTCATGCATGGAAGTAACGAAATGTATGAACTACATGTTTTTTTATGTTGTCAGTATGGTCTGCCAGGGTGTTATGAGTATATTTTTGCTCGTGTTGAAAGATAAATAAAATAAGCCCACAGATGCAATTCATAAGTGCACATAGGTTCAGCGTACTCAATCTAATTGTTAATCACATAAATAAACATCAAGCCACATGCTATCAGGGCATGACTATTAATGATCCCACACAAATGTAGAATTCGTGATGACATTCACACCACTTCTTTGTTTCAAAAAGAAAAAAAACAGACAAATATGAAGTGGACATCTGCAAATATTCCAGGTTATTTAAAACTCTGCGCTGAGACCAAATTTCATCCTCAATATTCACCTTCTCATAAAGGATCAGAAAACAAACAAAAAAAATCAATGAGTTGACAGTATGCCAGGTAGGGCCACATTCATAAAGAATATGAAAAGCCTTTTGTGTTCAAGCTCTCCACATGATTGAGCAGGGCCTAATTGTAAACACACTCTATATTGTAATAGCGCTAATCATAAATTGTGAGTTTTCGTATTTCACAAAATTCATGCAAAACCGAATATAAAAAAATGGGTACAAATGAGATAGGAAAACATTGAAGCATTTTTCCAACATGACTAGTGGCTACTTAAACATTGAAACACATTGCATCATGCAAGGCAATTCATGGAACGTAATGTTTTTTGTTTGTTTAATGAAATGGATAGCTATTAAGACTGAACAAAAAAACTAAAAATATACTTAACAGTTTATTTATTTTTACAAAACAATCTATATTTATTTGACGAGGGCGTGCTGTAATTCAGCACGAGGAGGGAGGGCAGTCGTTCTCGGTAGATCTCCCAAACCTGCTGGGCTGCCACGTGGCCAGGAGATGGCAGCAAAACAAAGTGTACCAAATCCATCTGTGTGGAAACTTTCAGTGTTATCCCCTCGTACGTGTGTGCGTTTTCTCTGGGCCCTATACCTCCCCTCCCACAAAAGCCAAACCCAAATGTATAAATCGGCCAAACATCTCAATCAGGACCCTCCCCTCCACCCCCCGTACTGAAAAAAATGGTCTCCAGACACAGCAAGAATTTTATGCAGAATCAAAGGGTATTATTTTGAATGTTTTTTTAATCTTACACGTCAATGAATGCTCATTTTTGTGACGTAACTATCATCGGACCACAAATATGTAATCATGCATGAGTTAAGGCAGTCGTTTACGTACTAACATGTTTAGATGAGAAGTGATCGAGCACATGTTCACACTCGTTGGTGGTGAACATCTATGGTGAACTCTGGGGAAGGGTCTGCTCATCAGTAGACATGGTGACCTTAACATTTCCAAGTCTGAGTTTGAGGAATCTTAGTCCGGTTTTGTGGGTTACGTGTCTCTGCGTGAAGCATGCTCATGGTGAAACATGCTTGTTGACGTTTTGTTGATGTGGCGTACACAATGAAGGTGTCGCGGTTTTCAAAATCAGGCTAAAGATGCATTTTATAATCTCTTTTATAGATTTTGAAGGTATGTTTATGCTTTTTATTGTTTTGTGTAACTTTAATTGTATCGACGCAATGCTACGTTTACCTGTGAAATGCTCTGTGACGATTTGATTGCGAATGGTGGCATATTCGATAAAGCTTCATTGATTTCAACAGAGCGAAACAACGTTACTTTGGAGTGCAAATTCACAACGGCAACTCCACAAGCCGCTACAAACGTCCGCTACAAACGCACACGCAGGATCGTTACCGGGAAAGTCGACGGCTCGTCTTGCAAACGAGGTGGGCATGTCACTTCAAAAACAAATGGCACGTCACAGGGAGAAAAAAAAACCCTCCCCCCCCCTATCACGTGGGCGTTGTGAAATCAGAATTAAAATCTTTATGTATAACTGGAGGAATCCGATGAGCTTATGAAGTTCTTTTTCACAGATGTCCAGTAGGGGTGGGTCAGAACGTTACAACAACAACCTAAAACAGGTAAGGCCCACTGAGCTATTAGATTATTTTTCAGAAGCGACCTGGCCACAAATGATTGCTCAACGAAGTGGCTTATTACGTGGAAATTTATAGCAGCCAAAAACTCTAAATGCAAGTCGATTCTAAATGTGGCGGGGACAACCGGAGCACCCGGCGAAAAAAATATGTGGCCACGGGGTGAACATGCAAACTCTAAAATATACAGCAGGCGTCAGGGTCGGGATCGAACCGACGGGCTCCTGCATACCAGGCGAGGGCGTTAGGATCGCCACCCCATGTGTTCAGCAGCGACATGGATCGTGGCCATTGTCAATAAAGAGTGGGATGGTATCGACATGGGGAAACCTTCATTCAGTAGTAAAAATGTAAACATTTTCGCAAAGGGGTAATTATACAAGGCGTTCGCCAGGGGCGCTTTGATGAACGGCACCCGTCGAGTTGACGGTGTGCTCACCATCGCCTTCGGCGCACAAGCACCGAGTGCTAGCACCGGACGCTACCACCGAGCGTTGTGTGTCTGTCTGTGTGTCTCCGTGTCTGTGTTTTGTCTCTCTCTCAAATTTAGCACTCTTTGGAAGAACGTTAATCAACCAGGTAGGGTGTTATGTTAGCCGACTCTCTGTGATGTATTGCATTATATTTCTGAGTTTACTAGGTTTGTTTTTTCTCATTCATTCGTACCTGATGACGATCGCTTGTGTTGCAATCGAAACGTCGTATGCTATTATTTAATTTATTTTCTTACTAAGTGACTTTACCGATATAACCAAAAAGTAATTCCTTGCAGTCACGAAAGCTCCAAATCAATTTTGGAGCGCTAGCACCGAGCACTCAGACGAGCGCGGCGTCAAGCAGCTCGTGTGAGTGCAGCTGGCAGCGACAGCCGCTGCTCAAAGTGCTCGGCCCAAAATCAATCCGACGGCGAACAACCGACGATCAAGACCTGGCTGCTCGTTTGACATTCAATTGTTGAACTGTAAAAAACCGAAGCGACTATCAATGCCCGCTAGGACCCCCAACACAACGATGGGTGCCTCAATGAATTGTCATCCGAAGCCGCAAGGAATTTATTGTTGAGTGCACTCAAACATCAATCGAGCGACAAATTAATCATCACTTGAGTCCGCATATGCCGGGGTGCACCAGTGGTAATGCATTCTACTGCAGTGATACCACCAACTGTGTAAACGTTGTTTTCTGTGCTCTGTCTCACGAGAAAGAAAAAAAAATCATGGCAAAGCTTGGCCACGTCTCACAGCTTTCGCCAATCGCTCAGAAGTTGGGTCGGCGTAAATGAAGTGTGAACAGACCCAAAGAAGCTCTTTTTAATCACGAGCCAAAGTCCCAGCAAAGCACCTTACTCGACAGCGAATCACTTGACGTCAAGGCCAACAGACGCGACCTTATAAAGGAACGTCCCAAGTGCATGTGACGTGTGCATCCAACCATACTCACATTGAGAGCATTTTTTGCTGCCTCTGCTTCCGATCTGCTGTCAAACATCGCAAATCCTACGGGCTGCAACGCAGAAAACAACAAACACATTCACCGATGCATATTTTATACGTCATTAAATAATTCAGCATTGGCTGCAAGCGTGGTTTTGAATATTTATATTTGAGTGCGAGGCAGTGCAAGACTTTGTAGTTTTACTATTCACAGAGAGGATATACAATGCTACATTAGCGACAAAAGCGATATCGCAAGTGTGATGTCTCACTAACAGATGGTTCCGTTTGCAACACGTGCTATCGGGCAAGCATGGTACGGAATGTTTAAATGTTACTCAACTTTCTTGGGCAAGAGAGGTGCTGTGTACAAGACTGAAAAGAGGTGCAGACTTAAGTTTTTAGCATTGTTTTATCAGCGCAAGATGTAGGGAAGGAAGTAGGTGGATGTTAAATGATGTCATTGGAAACTTTTAGAGTGTCACATTTTACCTTAAGAAATAAAGGACAGACACAAGCATTTGTCCGGATGGGCAACTTATCTATTCGGGATAGACTATAAAGACAAAGACCTCATATTTAGCCTTTTAACAGAATGTTGGGGTAACTGCTGTTTGCGAGTACCAACACCACACCCAGCTGCCTTTGTCTCCCCAATGCTGATGTTTACACACCGCACCAGGTACTCATTTAACGCTAAGTCAACCTAGGGGAGGCCCAGGACCGGTTCAAATATTCACCACTGTTATTGGTCATGAGCTGCAATTGTACTGGTGCATAGCGGTATGCTAACCACCACGCCACCGCTCCGCAGCACATTCGAGTTCGACTCTACTGCTGTGCACACACACATAGCCATGAGCTCAGATGTAATAAGCCTGCTTGCCTTCTGACGTCACATCGTACAAGTTAAATGCTAGAAGACTTGAAAGTTAAAATATGAATATCACCCATGGTAAGTTGACAATCATCTACTGCAGTACATGTGCTGTGAAGAAGGGCGACTGCCCGAAACATCGAGTCGTTTTTTTTTTAAGACAGAACTTAACTTAAACATAACTTTCATGTCACATAATTTGGTTGACAATGTCTGCGTACACCTTAAATTACTTTTCTTTAATTATTGACAAATGTAATGTTGTATAGTCGACGTTTGATAAACACTTGCCCTGTATAACGATTGTCAGATGGGAGAAATTCAATCTGCTCTCCAAAGTACTGAATCCAAACACACACACACAAAACAATAACACTTGAAAGCTCAACAATATTCTTAATTGCGTCCACAAAGTGCAATACTCCTTCAGGACCCCGTGCTCATTCTCCACAATATTCACGTTTTTTTCGTTTTTTTGTTTTGATGCTGCATTCACGCGCCACGGATCTCGCTCGTAAAATAGCCGGGCAACTGGATAAACGGGGCAATCCGTGAAACGTGTAAAATTTACGTGAACATTAAATTAAGACTATAACTGATACTTTGCGTTGCGGAGAACTACGTAGGTCGACGTTTCTATATAGAGCGCGTACTGGAGCGATGCTTAAGAAAAAAACACAGGCATTGTTCGAGAATGAATAATTCTTTAATTGTATGGATGCGCGTCATGTGTCCTGTACAGTCTCAGAGTGACAGAATCAGCCCTGTGCTGATGGCGTAAGCTATGAATCACATCCCACCTATTGTACCCCCCCCCCCCCCCCCACCATGGCCGATTAGAGGGCATTATTTGACGAGAGGCAAGCTGCATTGTGTCTCAAGTGACATCTGTAGCCTCTGTTATCGCTTGCACAGGCCTGGCAGGAGAGAAAACACAGCCAAGGTGCCGACAGCGAGGGTCTATAACTGGCACAAGCGCATGTATGCCACGCACAATCGTGCATGCACACACAAAGGGAAACAAAAAAACAAGACAAACATCCCCCGTATAGCCTTAACAGAATGTTGGGGCAAGTGCTGTTAGCGAGCACCTATGAAGGCCGAGACGGCACACGAGGGGGTGGGTGGCCAGCACCACGCCCGACCGCCTTTGTCTCCCCAGTGCGATGTTTACACACCGCACCAGGTACCCATTTAAGGCCGAGTCGACTTAGCGGAAGCCCAGGACTGGTTCAGATAATCGTCACCGGTGTTGGCCGTGAGTGAGAATTGAACTCCGGTCGCCGGATTTGAAGCCCAGTGCACTAACCACTGCGCCACCGCTCCCCATAAAAGAGCACACACAAAGGAACACACATCGTCACATGTACACTGATAGACACGCTGCACACACACACGCAGAGATTAACACACAATACGCACACAACACATGCACACACCGATTAACACATGCACACACAGATGACCACAAGTACACAGAGATGACCACATGTACACACACAAACACACACAACACATGCACACACTCATAATGCACATATGGCACTCAGGTTCCTGCCAGCTTTTATAGGAAAGGGCAGCATGAGAACCAACAGGGGGCTTTTGGACGAGCAAAACAATGCTCAGTCAGCCAGCCAGCTTGACCTTTCTGTTGCATGGGTTATGTCTACTCTACCCATCTCTTTATGCATGGTATACTGTACATTTTAGTTTATATTGCCAGGTATAGCCCACTGAGCTATTAGCTGCTTTTTCAGAAGTGACCTGGCCACAAGTGATAGCTCAACAAAGTGGCTTATCACGTGGAAATGTATAGCTACCAAATACTCCTCACGCACGTGTCTAATGTGGAGGGACAAACCGGAGGACCCAGAGAAAAATCTTCGCAACCTCTGGAAGAACATGCAAACTCCAAATACATAAGAGTCAGGGTCAAGATCGAACCCACGACCCTCCTACATACCAGGCGAGGTAGTTAACATCTCGCCACCGTGGCGCCATATACAGGGTGGCCCAAAAGTCAAGACATGTAAGGTTATTCAATTTGTTTTAATAAATCACATAGGGTCATTTAATTTTTTAATAACTGTCCAAACTGACTGTCATTACCATTCATGCATGAATTCTCTTTTTTAAATGGATTAAGGACTTTTGTTTGAAGATTCCAGGTGTAATCTTTGAACATTTGGTACTCATGTGTTGTCTCAATTCAATCAGGATTAACACGTAGGCTTTCGCGGCAAATGTTATCCATAATATTTAAGAATGAAACAGGAGGATTTCTCAATAAATCTGGCTGTTGCCTGATGATACTAGTTGTAATTATTGGCGAAACTAGAATTGTAAATGTTGTGGGTTTACTCTCCAAAACACTGGTGTGTTGTACTAGTAATGAATTGACATTTCTTTTTTACGTGACAAACTTTACTAATTGGCTGTGTCGGGTGGTGACGGGTTTAACGACACATCTATATTTACGCGATCTCACCCAAAAAAACCTGTATTATGGATATCATTCAGGATTCTTGGTCGAGTTTTGCAAACGACGAATTTGAGGTAACCTCACGGGACGAAGAAACACAGACATTAATACTGTAATGATAACAGATCAAATATGAACTTAAAGATGAAACAACTAATTTGTTTTAATTCCAGTGGTAAATACCATGAAATAACCCTGTGTCCTGACTTTTGGCCCACCCAGTATATATACACACACACATAGAATGTACACGGCGGTAGAAATGGAATTGTAGAAGACCCTATATCATGAGTGACCATCGCATAGATTATTTTGCTGCTATAAATTTCTACGTGATAAGCCACTTCGTTGAGCTATCATTTGTGGCCAGGTCGCTTCTGGAAAAGAAGCGAAGAGCTTAGTGGACTTGACCTGGTAAGATAAAAAAAATATCTTTATTTGTATTTGCATAAAGTGATTTGCTTAACCTTTCCTCTACTATGCACTCCTATCGCGTTTTTGTAGTACGGGACATCTGTGAAAAAGAGCTTTATAGCTCATCGGATTCCTCCAGTATAACTAAATATACTGATATGAAACCTATTCGCGTCCCGTAGCAGCCCATGGTAACTCCTATTGCAGTATGGGAAGAGGAACTGCTGCGACAGTCACCGGTGTACATGTGCTGTGCCCTAGAACCACGCGGAGACGAGGAATACTATAAGGGCTCTCGATCTTGGTGCTCTACCCTGGATACTGAACGTCATCTGGGTCCTGCCCTCGGCTATCCTTTGGGGCTCTCTCACTCGACTGCCCGGAGCGGGGGTTCAGCCAACACCGCCCCGGCGACGAGGAGGGAGAGACACCTTGCAGGCGATCCTTGCCCTGGCCCCCCACAACGACCTCGCCTTCGTCACGGGGGCCCCCCTTAAGAGCCCCTTTGGCGGCTCCTCCCCCTAGCTCGGACCCGCCCTTTGTTCCCGAAGGAACCTCGCACCTCCTTCCCTAGGCCCCCTCATGGTCACTCACAATAGCCCTCTACACATGTTTGGTGTAAGTGCCGTCGTATACTGGCCCAGTTCGACCGCAGTGTGTACATGTCAACTTGGGGGTAGGGGGGGGCGGGGTGCGGATGGGGGTGCAGTGGTGGCTAACATTAGTGGCGATTGACAACGCAACCGGTCGTGAGCACCGCCCTTCACCGATCCGCATTGAGCAGCGTGGCAAAGTATGGTCAACGACCCCCCCCCCCCCCCCCCCCCCCTTAATGAGTGACACAGCATCGGGGCAGAGGCCTTCATCCAGCAGTGGAGTTTCAAAGGACCGTTGCACTCGATGTAGTAAAACTAAACCAACTTGAGGTGGTACAAACTCGCATAAACATCGTTGATACAGTGCAGTATTTACAAAATAGAATCCAGTTTGTGCTCTGGCAAATTCCTCTGTTAGGAACATTTCTTATAAATGTGGAAGGTCAGTTAAGTGCTGTGTAATACAACAAGCAAGCCCCAACCCCCTGTGTAACGTGCGTGTGTGTCGGTGTGTCTGAGTGTGTGTCTGTGTGTGTCAGTGTGTGTTAGTGTGTGTCGCTGTGTGTGAGTGTGTGTCTGTGTCAGTGTGTGCTAGTGGGGAGCGGTGGTGTAGCGGTTAACGCGCTGCGAACCCGGCGACCCGTTTTCGATTCCTGCTCACGGCCAACACCAGTGACAATAATCTGAACCGGTCCTGGGCC